CCAAATCTTTCACAATTTAATTTAAATTTTGGTAGGTCTTCTTCTTCTCGCATGTGAAAGAATTTTTACGCAGTAACTATGACGTGATGACGTAACATTTAAAAAGCCCTACATTGCAACAGCTTGGCACAGGCAAAGTTAAATGTTATCATCAAACTGGTAAAACTTGAAAATGTGTCTTGTTTGTTCCAAGTTGTTGCAGTGTTTATTGTGTTTTGTTCACCACTTATATAGCACCATTAATGGTTAAGCCGTGAATGCATGTCCCCCTGCGTAACACTGTTGCTGCTTGATTTTCCCGCCCTTAAACGATGTTGCAGTGATGCGTAGTTTGTTGCTTTATTAAGTAAAAGAAAAAGACGAAGTCGTCTGTTACTTCGGTATAAAAAAAAAAAACAAAAAGTGCGTCGCAGTTGACAAAAAGCACATGTAAACTTCGTTGTTTATTATTACTATTGTTTGTTTTCTGCAAATGGGAGTTCGTAGCGTCCAACGGTTGTTATGGGGCTTTTTTTATCGGCTTTTGTGAGGTTTTTTTTTCTTTATGTATATATGAATTTGGACCAATTTAGAAAATTCTGTGGTTAAATAACTTTCTCAAAATTCATTCCTAAATTTTGTCTATTAACATATTTGACACATATTCTTATAATATACATATGTAATATTTTAATATATTTATAATGTTTATAAATTTATATTGTTTTTAATATTTATATTGTTTTTAATATTTATACTGTTTTTAATATTTATATTGTTTTTAATATTTATAAATTTTTGTATTTATATATTTTTATATTAATTAATTTTTGTATTTATATGTATTATTTATTCATTTTTGTATTTATATAGTTTTATATTTGTATATTATTGTATTTATATATTTTTGTGTTTATGTATTTATAAATTTTTATATATATTTTTGTATTTGTTTATCTTTGGTTTTTTTTTTATATTTTTTTACCTTTGGTATTTGTTTCCTTTATTTTTGATTTCTTTTAGATATTAATATATTTTTTTTTAATTATTTACGTATATAATTATTATTTATATTTTTTTTTTAATTATTTACATATAACATTATTTATACTTTTTTTTAATTATTTACATATATTATT